CCCGCTCTTGTCAGGGTTCATCAGGGCCAGCAGCGCCTCCACTGCCACCACTGCCAGCGCCATGTTGCTGCCACCCGCCATATTCCACCACCCCTTGGCAGTCAGTGCACATCTACCTCCTGCCCGTAGGGACAATTTGCATATTAGCCTTTTATTATATAGGATACCATAATTTGTTTATCCATTCCTCTCTGATGGATACCTGGGGCCATTTTTTATTTGGGGCTATTATGAATAAATCTGTCATGAACATTCATATACAAATCTTTTTGTGAACATGTATTTTTATTTCTCTTGAGTAAATACCAGGAATGGAATTGCTGAGTTATGTTTAGGTTTATAAAAACTGCTTTTCCCCAAAATGATTGTAACATATTTGCATTCCCACCATCCCATATATGATACTTTTAGTTGCTTTATATCAGCATTTGGGTTTATTAATCTTTTCATTTTTAATGGTGTGTATTGAATAACTTCTGACTAAACCCAAAAGAAACTAAAAGCCACTTCGAAATTGTTTTTCTTTTTATAATGAACATTCTCATTTTTGTTATAAAATGGCAATTAAAATTTTTTTAACAAAGTAGTATTCAAACGCTATTAAAATTTTGAATGAAAAAACAGCAATCCTTTTTCCTACTGTTACCCTAACTTTTTCCTCAGAGGCAGTCATCCTCAACTTTTAGTTGTTTTTCTTATTTGCTACCTTACAGTTTTTACTGCTGTTTCTTGATTTATCCATTTCTGACATGATATGTTAACTTCTCAAGGTAGCATATGAGAACATAACTCTCCCTTTTCTCCTCTAATCCACCTCCAATTGCCACATCCCCTGCCAACACAATATCATATTGTGGATAAAATGGGTGTCATTCTTTCATTATTATGACCATGAAAATACTGTTCAATCCTGAGAAAAAGAGAAGCTGTAATCATTCCTCCTTTCTTATACAAGTCTTTATTTTCATGACATCAATAAAATTACTGCACTTCTCCCTTTGTCTAGCTTGCTGTGTTCGTATTTTTAATTATTTCCATACGTTCCAACATCTCTTCCACGTGCTCATGAATAATATTTTTCATATGCTCAAAGAGATCAGTTATTGTTCTTTTCTGCAGACCTCCATGCTCCTATTCCACTCTGAATTGGCTATTCTCTAGGCCTGTTGAACAATTGAGACTTTTCTTTACTGCCCCTTCAACACTTTTCTGGATTAGTCTCCCTGTTTGCTGAATTCCATATCTTCCTTGGTCGTGGTTTATTAAACCTTTATTTTGCTGGGGTACACCTTCAGTATCTGTAGGTAGAAAGTAAATTTATTAAGACCTTAATTTACTCTTTATTGATAGTTTGGATGGGTATAAAAATCTAGTTTTTAAATATGTTTTCCTCATAATTTTGAAGGCACTGTTCCAATGAGTTCTAGCATCCAGTAATGCTATTCAAGATTTGAAGCCATTCTTTTTTCTGGCCCTTTATTTTGAATGTTATTGTTTATCACTTTGAAATTTTTTAGTTGTCCATAATGTTCTCCAATTTCACAGTGATGCTCTTTGGGGTGACTATTTTCCTTATTTGTTGTACTCTGTACCTAATGGGATTTCAATGTTGAGTTTCATGTCCTAGAAAGTTTCCTTCAGTTCTGGGTAGTTTTTCATCACTCCATCTTCATATTTTATATGACCCCTTTTTCTGCAATTCCTTTTACTGGAATGTTGAATCTCTTGACCTGATTCTCTAATTTTCTTACCACTTTTAAATTCTTTCTGGGAGATTTATCTTTAAGCCTTCCTCCTCCATTCTTATTTCAACTCTTTAATTTGTTTTAATGTTCAAATGTTTTCTGATTATCTTTTTATGGCATCTTTTTTTCATGGATGCAAATTCTTCCCTTATCTGTCTGAGAATATTAATTGTAATTATTTTCAAGAAATATACCTCTTTCCTCAGGATCCTTTTTTTTTTTGTTATTTGCTCTTATGTTGGAGACTGTACTTAGTTGTCTGATGAACTTTAGCTGTCTATTCATAGTAAAGAGAGATACATTAAACAGTTGCTAGAAAATTTTTCTACATAGTAAGGCTTGTTGATTAGTGGACTTCATGGTAGGGGTAGGATGACAAGCTAGATTTTTAATATGGTACCCCCAAATGTCACTTTTTGTGGCATTTCTCTTAGGCCATTTCATTTTTCCAGAGAAGAATTTAGGGGTTTCCTGCTGGTAATATATAAGCCTGGCTTGAAACATCCTGAAAGAGGGACAGGAAAAGGAAGTGAGCCTCCACCTCTGTCCTGTCTCCCCTGTGTCAGACTTCTTGGTCCTCTGGTCCTCTCCAGACAATAAATCTCCAGTCTGTTGCCAGGAAAAGCAGATGAGAGGAAGCAGTAATAAGAGGGTTGCTTGCCTGCCTGGGCAGGAGATACAGCTCAATGGAGGGTGTGAGGGAGGCTAATCTTTCTAAACATAAACTTTCAAACAATCTCTTTCTTTTAAACCCTTCATTCTCTATAGTACCTTCTATCTCCACCTACTAAACCTTTTCAGAGGCAAACAGGTTCAACAGACTCACTTATTATTAGCTTCCACCTCTCCAGAAACCCAGGTGCTAGCTTTCTCTCTGCTAAATCACTTCCATGCAGTTTTAATCACTTTCTATTTTCCAAAAAGTTGTTGAAATCTCTCCACTACTGTTAACCTCTCTCTTTGTTTCTTGGTTCTTATAGGTTTGTACCTTTTCACTTTTCTTTATTTTCAGTATATTGGCATTTTGCCATTGTTTTGCTATGTTTAACCAGAAGAATTATTATTAAAGAATATAAGTTTTGCACTTTAAACAATTGATTATATGCACCCAATTACTTCACTTAAAAGCTTTAACTCTTTCATATATTTTTGGGAAGTGTGATTCTTCTAAATACATATTTAAACTACATCTTTTGCTACATATTTAAAATCATTATATTTCTTATAAAGTCATATAATGGCATTACTGATCAAGTATCAAAGGCATATATACTGTTTGAATTGGTTTCCAGAAATGGTTAGTTTAGCCTGGCCTAAGTCTTCCACATCTTCTTACCTAGTCTCTGAGGGTAAGCATCAGCATTCATAAGACAGCTAAGTTTAGGAATTTTCAATACTAGGGATTTGTATTTCCTCATAAATCCATCTCACCACTCTGGAAATTGACCCAATAAACTTGGCTTCTTTGTTTGTACCCTACCTCAACCAGCTAAGGTGACTGCTCCCAGAAAACAAATATACTGCATCTTCTTTAGGATGATCTAAGAATTTGAACCTAACATGTAAAACTGATTCTGTATCTTGACTAAAGCAATTCATAAAACATGTTTCTTTTATCCAATGCATGATTCAGACTTACATTTTTTTTCCAGAGTCTATATGCTTATAACTGAGCTCATTTCCAGATTTGTGTCATGTTGAGCTGATTGGCTTTGTAAACCTAGCATAAATACAACCCAGCACATTGAATATATTCTTAAAGAGCACCCTCATTTGCTAAATAAGAAAATGGAACAGGTTTCTACATCTGCTTCCCAAAAACCTTGATACTGGTGACAAGATACTGCAGAATGCCTTAAGAGATCTGCTAATCATATCTGGGCCTTTGCCTTGGGAGCTTGAGCTGAATCTTGGCCTGGTGTGTAATTGGACTCTTATGACCATCTGGCAGCTTCTGTGACACATTAGTGGCCTTGGCCCAGTTTCTAATTGGCATGTATCTGCATCCACAAGACAGCTTAACTTTCTAAATAAGAGAGGTCATAATATCTTTTTTATTCTTTAGCTATGATGCAATTGTTCTTTGTAGGTTTTTTGTTTTAACTGAGAAGAAGCTAAAATTTCAAGATTTCATGTTACTTTAATCTTGAGCCCTTTGCATCTACTTCTCTACTAACTGAAACAGTGTCTAGAAACTGCTGGTCCTGGCTCCGTGTCTTGAAGAAATTATGTAGCATTATATCTTTCTCTCTCTCTCTCTCTGGCTTCAGGCCATAGGCATTCTTAATCTGCAGACTGTCTGTAAACTGTAATAGAAAGCTTCATCTGTAATCATTTTAAACAGAGCCAGTGGAGACAAGATTGCTTTAGTTAGTAGCTTACTAGTTTAAATTGAGTACGCTCTAGTTGGAATGGAAACTTAATCAAGGAAAAACTCCTAGTAAGTTTTCACTTACATTTTATATCTTACTTGGTAACTTTTTTGAAAATGTTGCATAAAAGACCCAGCACAGGAAACATTTTATATTTGTGCTTATGAGTAATAAATATGGAATCTGAGGCATTCTATTTTATAAATCAAGGACATAGTCCAAATTTCCTGTTTTTCTACATTAAAAAAAAAAGGCAGGGTAAAAATAGCACTAAACTCTATAGGGTATTCAGGGGTCAAGGCAACAGGCAAAATCAGTTACTCAAGATGCCTGATGCCAAGACTTCTCAGTCCATCAATAGAAACATTCATTTTGTAGTCACTATAGATAGGTGAGATGTTTGTTCCAGGTATTATAAAAATATAAGTAAATATATCCTATTTCAGATTTTCTACGCTTATTGAGAAAAGAAGGAAGTAACAGAATAGTAAAGTAATAAACTAGTGACTTGGAAACACAGGTTCACCCATTGCTAGTTCATGGAAAACACAAGTCTTTCCAGTCAGACATTCTCATTACATCTTCCTTTTCATCACATCTATTTCTGCCTGTATTTTACAAACCTGGCTACTGTCTTTAATCTTTAAGATCCTGCACCACCTCCCCAAGCACACATGTGCACTCACATATTCTGACCTTTGCTCAAAGATTTCCCAGTCTGCCTAATAGCCTACAGTGGGTCTTCCTGCATCTGTCTATCTGTGGAATATTACCAAGATGCTCTGAAGAATATATTTATGGCTGTAGGTTCTTTGGGATTGGTACCATTAGTTGATGCTTCATCATGCTAAGAGGAAATTTTTCTCATTTGTATTTTTTATAGCCTATGGAATGTTTCTTGGTACAACCAAAGGAAACAAAAGAAGATGCCACCAAGACCAGGAAGAGGAGAAAGGTAATATTAATTCCTTACAATGGTGTGGCCCTACGTGGGTTACATCACCTTTTTGTATAGTGTGCTTTGATGAGGCAATTACTATCATCGCATCTTTAGAGATGCAGAAATTGTAAGATTCAGTGGGGTTTGGTGACTTCCTTAGGTCACTTGTAATAAGTGTTTCTGTTGGAGCTAAAAATAAATTCTCCTGATTCCTATTTCAGTTTTGTGAAACACTAAACATCTTTCTTACCCACCCTGTGTTTTCACTGTGGTTAGAAGTCAGACATGGGTTTCTAATTCTAGAAGGGGCCCAGAGCTCTCCTGCCCTATGGCCCCTCCAGCTCTGTCCAATGAAAGAAGTTTACCAATCTTCTTTTCTTACCCATCTCAATTTTTAAAACCTTTTATCTTAGAGAATTAATGAAAAGAAAATAAACAGATGAAGGTAGCAGTATAAGGCATTTCTGCCTCTCATTTGGAACCATAATTTAAAGCAAAAGGCACCCCTTGCATTTTAATACTTGCCTGTGAGCATATGGAAGACTCTTGCTCCTATACAAACTTCCTTATGGCTCAGACTTGGAGAAAGTGTGGTTAGCTTTGACCTTCCACCACAGTTGTGAAAACAGGAGTGTAATTCTCTCCCTGCCAAGAAGGGTCTTGCTGAAGTCAGCAGAGGAAATATGATTGGGATTAGAGGAGAGAAGATGGACTCAAACCAATTACTTAACAGCAAGCTTTTAGAAAACTGTAGTATGTGTGTGCATATGTTTTCTTTGCTTGCAAATGGCCAAATAGGAAGACAGGAGATGCCAAATTGGCTGAGGTCTGGCAAGTCCTTAAAGAAGTAACGTTAACTTCTCTTTGATAGTTTGTGTACTAATGGCCTTCAGGAGTGTTAAGTTCTTGGGGGCTCAAGGTCAGAACTCTGGCTAGGTAGTTTAGCCTTGGCTGAGGTCATGCTAAAATGTGCCCACCGATGACATATTTTAAAAGTTAATTCACTTGACAGAACTTTGACCATTCTCAGCTCTGGTATAGAAATAAGGACATTGTGGAAGGAGGGGAAAAACCTGGGGGCTGGGAGGTTGTGAGGAACAGCTCTTTCTAGATCTTTGGTGAAACATGAAAAGGAAATGAGAAGGGAAGTTTATGATGAAAATTAAAGGAACGATTGTGTGTTCCTAGTACATTGCAGGCATTCAGTAAATGCTACACAAATAGGTCCAAATCAAAACAGGTGTTGTACAGTATTTCCTGTTCGGCTTTCCATAGGACCACTTCAAGACTGCATCTCTCAAGACTTGAGAATTGAGGGTCTAAAAGTCCCCCTTTGCAGCGAGTCCTATGCTCAGATTACTCCTGTAGCTTTTACTTAATCCCCAAAATCCAAACTGAGAGTCAGTGCCTGAAAAATCAGGTTAGGCAAGAAATTCTCAAAATTCTGCCCTCCCATGTTTAAGGAGAGCTTCCACAGAAACAAGATTTCTTGACTTTTAACAGAAAATTATATCCTCTTATAGAGACTGCTGTAAAAATGTCAGTTCTCCTAGATGTCTTTGTAACTAGGAGTTACAAGGAATCTTTTATCAGTGGTTCTCAACCTTCTGGCCCTTTAAATACAGTTCCTTATGTTGTGACCCAACCATAAAATTATTTCATTGCTACTTCATAACTGTAATGTTGCTACTGTTATGAATCGTAATGTAAACATCTGATATGCAGGATGGTCTTAGGCGACCCCTGTGAAAGGGTTGTTTGACCACCAAAGGGGTCGTGACCCACAGGTTGAGAACTGCTGTTTTAGATCCTCCATTCATTTTTCAAAGCAGCAGTGCCCAAGAAATTCTATTATGTTTTCTCAAGTATGTTTATTAGAACTCACATTCATACTTGGCTACCATCAAAGCCTATGTACAGTTTAAATGCCAGAGGAATCAACCCATCATAAGCCAAATGCCATTCTAAAGTCTTTCCTCCTTTTTTTTATTTTTCTTTCTTCTCATCTTAGAAGAAAATTACTGACATTCTTGCAAAATCAGAGCCAAAACCTGGGACACCTGAAGACCTGCAGAAACTGATGAAGGACTATTACAGCAGCAGTCGCTCAGTGATTGAATTAGAAGAACTGAAGCTACCAGGTACAGCCAGGCTTCTTTGGGTTTTTTCCTTTTTTTTTTTTTTTTTCAATTTCTTACTATTCTGAGGTTAGTCATTCAGAAGGATCCATTGTTAATTGCTAGCAATTTTCCTGATGAGGAGGAGCAAAACAGATTCATCTTTATATTATGGCAAGGTATCTCAGCCAGACATTAATATATTTTCCTCACACTAATGCTCCTTTCCTCAACCTCGTAATTTTAATTTGTGGATGATTTCTTTATTAAGATACTACATGGTAATCTAATAGTAAGATTTTAATTGTATTTTTTTTCAAAAGGCTAGTTGTTGAGTATGCTTTTTAAAAAAACTTTTTTATTGATTTCAGAGAGGAAAGGAAAGGGAGAGAGAGATAAAAATATAAATGAGAGACAATCATTGAATGACTGCCTCCTGCATGCCCCCTACTGGCTATTGAGCCCACAACCTGGGCATGTGCCCAGACTGGGAATCAAACCGTGACCTCCTGTTCATAGGTCGATGGCTCAAGCACTGAGCCATACCAGTTGGGTGCTTTTTTAAATTTTTTTCTGACCAGATTCTTCAAAGAGCAACAATCCCTAAGAAGATAGAAGTTAAATAAAGGTAAACCACACAATTAAAAGTATAGACATGAAACACTAATTTATTCATCCTTTATAGACAAGAATGTTAGCTTTAATAAGCAGCTTAGTTTTATTGTTGCTCTTATCATGGATTTCTAATTATGGTTTAGTTTTTAGGATAGTTGTTGGGTCCTGGCCCAAACTTTATCAAGCCAACTACCTAAAGATAGGGACAAAATTGTACATTGTTAGCAAGGCTGACACATCATCACCCAGGTGACTCTTCACTCTACTATTGTTTGAAATCTACTCTTAGAGAATTTATAATTAAGTTAAAATATATTGCAAATTTTTTAAAACAACCTATTTTCATTAATTTTAAATTTATGATACATCCTATAACTCCTGGGCAGAGATTGAAGAAAAGAGATGTTGTCATAAACTCAAAACGCAAACAGTTTGGGTGCCATGCCTGAGGTGAGCTATTTATAGACCACAAGGGCTATCTAATGCTGCTTTTGGAAAAAGTCAAGAGTTGTTTGACTTCCTTTTTCCATTACAACTGCATGCTTTCTAGAGGCTTGAGAAGCTGAAAAACAGACTGTTCCCTGAATTTTTATAATTCCTCTGTGATAAGCTTTTTTTATAAAATGCACATTGGGTTGGAGACCTGAGTGCCCTGTGCGTTTCTTTTCCAAAAGGGGTGTCCTTTAGGGAATGGAAGGAGTGCGTTTCCACATAGCGAGACCTGGAGTTCTGACTTACTGGGCCCCCCGGCTCCAACAGCAGTTAGCAGCACTCTTCTCAGCACAGCAGTTCCTCTGGAGGAGAGCTGGGTCCTGGCTGCCCTTTCTCAGGAAGCAAGTGTTATAACAAAGCCTCTTTTCAAGGTCTAACTGGAAGTGTGGTTTTACTGTGGCTCAGTGGTCATTTTTCCTTTCTCTTTTTTTGTTAGAGTAACCTTCAACTTTGGAAGAACTAGTGAGATAATGGGACCACTGCTACCCTGTAACCTCACAGAACATCAAAAACCTTAATTGGCTAGAACAGTAGAGAGTCAAAGGTCAGAAGAAGCCTTTAAGGACTCATTTGAGTTCCATAGTGAGTTTACTTTATATTACTGTTGTATTAGAGTTCAGTAATATAGGTAAGCAAGAATATGTGGGCATGTGTTGGTTTAGGGAGGAAGAAAAAAATCGTAAATACGTTAAAAATAGTATTATGGGCAAAAAGAGCAGGTTTTCATTTTCAGTTAAGAAATTAGGCCATTCTGATTCCCAGTGATTGAAGACATTATAGGAAGGGTTTAGAGAAAAGGCCCGTCACTACACTGATGAGACCAAGGACAGGGAGGAAGTGTGTGCTAGGTGAGAGGAGGGACATGCCATGGGTTGTTTGGTGCAGGCTCAGGAAGGGGTGTAAACATAAAGTGGCTGTAAATAATCAAATATTTTCCTATTTAGTTTGCCAAGTGTGTAACTTGGTTTTGATTTGAGGTTGTTTGTGTCTGTAGGGCAGGAACATGTCTTTTCAATTAACATGGTGTGCTGTACATTGTTAATGTCAGACACATGGGCACTTAATTAGTTTCGAGGCAGGAGTCCCTTGGAGCTAACCCTGCTGTCCTCCTGAGAGCTGCAGTGTGGTTTAGATCAGCGCTAAAAGCCTGAAGGCTAGCTGCAACTTAAAAAGCAAATTCCCAGGCTCACCCCCAGGGAATTCTGACTCACTATGAGAAAGTGAGTCCATCCCAGGAATCTGTATCTTCTACAAAGCTCTCCAGGTGAGCCTGATCATATCCAGGCTTCGGAAATTAGTTTGAAAGACCATCGAAGGTTCTACAACAACACAGGAGGCAACATCTTTGAAGTTCATTATTCACATAATGTGTTATAAATTCCGGGTCACAATATAAATGTCATTTAATTTAGTAATAGTTTGCTCCCTAGCACTCTGCTGTGTTTATAGACAGACTTTTCCTTGTAGAAAGAATTGGGACAGCCCTAGTCAGTTTGGCTCAGTGGATAGAGCGATGGGTCCCTGTTTCAATTCCGGTCAAGAGCACTTGCTTTGGGGTGTGTGCAGCAGGCAGTGGAGGCAACCAATCGGTGTGTATCTCTCTCACATCGATGTCTCTCTCTCCGTGTCTCTCCCCATCTTTTCTACTCTCTCTGTAAAAATCAATGGAAAAAAATCTCCTTGGGTGAGGATTAAAAATAATAATAATAATAACTAGGACAATAAACCTCCTGCTTTTTTATTCATCTCAGTTACAGAGTTAACAATACTACATGATTGCTAGACCATGATTGTCATTGGTTGAGCAATTCCCTATGTTTTAATGTTATATTGGGAACATCTCGACATAGATTTGTTTCAGCTTTGCCTTTGTATATTGCCTGTTATTTGAAAATGATGTTTCATTAATCCACTGAATAATACAATAAGCTTGTACTTCCCTACCCTAAGAAACTATAAACAGTTAATTTTTACTTGTTATTGCTGCTGCTAGTGTTTTATATCCTAGACAACACTTGAAATATGTGATGAGCCCCCAATTCGGTAATGATATACAACCTGGTTTAATCTGTTTTTATTATGTGAAATCAACTATGAAATAGTTGCAGAATTCTCTACAAAGCATGTTTCTCATAATCCTAGACTCCTGTTTCCTCAAGGCCAACGATTTGACTCATAGTCTTTCATCATACCTAAAAGAAAGTAAGTAAACTCTCATTTTTTTAAAAAATTATTCACCAAATTGTTATTACATTAAAACATAAGTTCAGTCTCTTCAAAATAAAAAATTTCAAAACTACATTTAAAATAAAAAGTTTCCACCTCAAATGGATTTTAAATGGAGGGTGTTTTAGGTCCCTCTTCATATTAACTTTTTTTTATTTAAGTTTATTCTTGTTTTGCTCTGGCTTTGGGAATTTGGGAATTGGTCTGATTTTTGTTTTATAACACATGAGAAGTATTGGTGTAGGAACCTAGAGAATAGTTAGCATTCTAGTTCAGATCCCTCACTAATTTGCTCTTTGACCTGAGGAAAGTCACTGAGCACTCTCTGAGACTTGACTTTGTTATCTGAAAGATGAGGACTGTGTGACCGCTGTTCCAGCTCTGAGATTCTGAGGCTCTGTCCACATCTTCAGAACTCCGACCCTGAGTATTGCATAGTCCATCTCATTTGATCTTTTCAACATGTATTGCATGTAGTCAGTAATAACTAGATTATTCACACGAGCTAGTCATTTATCTGTAACCAACAGTGAAATATTTAGATGTAGAAGATTTATCATTCTTCTTTCAAACTCTATTCAGTTCTGAGGACACTCAGCTTGAGTTCATAAACCTTTCTCCCCCTCAAATTCAGCAAATGTAAATGTAATCAAGCTCACTGGGCTATGAGAGCTAAACAAGAGAACACATGTAAAGTGCCTAGCACAGTGTCACTGCTCACCAGATGTTTGCTATTATTTTAATGTCATTTCTATTTTACATTTTATGCTCAGTGTCCCTTTAAAATTTAACATCATTGAATCAGAATTCTTTTCCTACTCAACATTGCCTTCAAGCATCAAACAAATTAAAAGTATCGCAAATGCATTCTTTTGAACTTTTTTTACTTAGTCCTAAAACTAGTCACTTTGGCATAATATATGTTTTGTGTTGTAAGTTAATGATATTTCATTTTAATCCAATACCTACAATATCCAGAGAATAGAATCTAAACAGTGCTCATTATATCCTATTTTACTTAAACACTAATTTAGAATAATGTTTTCTCTCATGGTATTTTTTTTCAGTCTGCCCTAAGTGGGTAAAACTTCGGAAAAACCATACAGAGAAGAAGTCAGTCCTAATGCTGATCATCTGCAGCTCTGCCATCCGAGCCCTGGAGCTCATTAGGTTGGATGCTTCACCTATTATTTTGTTAATGTTTCCTGAATAGCTGATGTGTGCCGTATTGATATGTTCTGTATGCTGAAGATGTTGCAATGAGCGAAACAGAGTCCGCTCTCTCATAGGACTTACTTTCCAGGGAGGGACACCGACAATAAACAAATAAACATTATAATGTCAGCTAGTGATAAGTTATATAAGAAAAAATACAGTATAGAAGGGGATGGGGCTTCTTTTAAAAGGTGGTCCCAGAAAGCTTCTCTAAGGAGATGGCATGTGAGCCAAGACTTGACCACAGTGAAGGAGAAAGCCAAGCAGATGGCTAAGAGCCTGCCAGGCAGGGGGACAGTCAGAATGATCTGGATAATCATCCTGAAGGATCCCTTTGGCTGCTGTGTGGAGAACACACGTTGTAGAGGGCAAGGGTGAAAACAGGGAGACCATAGCAATAACCAGTTAGAAGAAAAGATAAAACACCAAGAAATAAACTTGTGAAAGCCCATATAAAGAAAATTTTTCAGAGTGATGCAGAAGACCTTGAATAAGGCATACCATGTCCTTGAATAATTAGACTCAGTGATGTAAAAATGTCTGTTTTACCTAAGATAATCTACAAGTTTCATAGATTCCCAACAGAACTCCAAAAGAATTGTTTTTAAACTAGGTAAACTAGTTCTAAGTCCATATGAGAAGAAATCTGTCCCCAGGGAAAATCTGGAAAAGATACTAATGAGCAGGTACTATGCCTATAGTATCAGGTTTTTTAAAAACCGTACTACAAAGTCTCAATAATCAATACAGTATGGAACTGGCTCATGCATGACAGACAGATTAGATCCGTGGAACAGAACTGGAAGTTCAGAAATAGACCCATATGTATATGAAAATGTAGCCTATGGCCAAGGTGACAAATCAGTAGGGAAAGATGGATTGTTTAATAAATGGTACTGGAACAACTGGGCAGCCGTCAGAAAAATAAACTTGGATCCATATCTCACTTCTTATACCAAGATAAACTCCAGTGGACCAAAATTTTTAATGTAAAAATTACGTTGTAAAGATAAATTGTCAGTGCTTTACTACGTGCTTTCACATACTTTTTCATTTACTGTCGTTTGTGTAGAATAAACAAAAGGGCTTCCATAGGTCTGAGTAACACTCAGCTCTCAGGGAAGAGCCATCGGAGTAAAAGGGGATTTACTGAAAGGACCAGGCTCTGTGCCAGGTTTTGGCACAAGACAAAGTAAAGGAAAATTTAAGTCCTGAAGAAAGAGGAACTTGATCAAATAGACTTGGGTGCAAATGTAGACGCTAAGTAGGTATTTACCATCTATCTGTCCAAATGAACTAATCTGATCATGAATTTAGAAAAGTAGTCGTTAAACTTTGTTAATAGTCCTTCAAACTCTCCTTTCCCCATTAGGCACGCACAGAAGTGTTTCTTTAAACTATTTCTGCTCTAAACAATTGATCTTCAAGACTCCCACTACTCTGGGAAGCTCTATTTGAAGTATTAGGAGTTCACATAGACTTTTCCGTGTTTTAAAAACTACCACAACAGAACTTACTTCATATTCAAGCTCTAATGGCAATGAGGTTGGCCTCAAGGTGGCCTCTTAAAAACAACTTGTCAAATTGATTTGAGTGCTTACTCTACATAAATACCTTTCTGGGGGACATAAAAGCACTATGTTGTCGCACTTCATTTACCAATTCTCAGTGTTTCTCTGTGTCACCTGGTAATATTATGATCCATTTCAAGGTTAGGGGATTTGCAAAAGGTGAATTTTGAGCGGGCACAATGAGCCCTATTCATAAAGACTAATTGTGAATAATTCTAACTTTTGTAAGAATATTTGCTCCCTTGAGAACCATGAGTTATGTCAAATATGTTCCCTAAATTTTCTTCCTAGTTAACCTTGCCTTGGAGAAAGCTTACATATAAGTAGAAATCAAGTGCAGCTTGGGCTGCATGGCTCAGTGTTGAGCATCAACCTATGTACCTGTGGTTCGATTCCCAGTCAGGGCACATGCCCAGGCTGTGGGCTCAATCCCCAGTAGGGGGTGTGCAGGAGGCAGCCAATCAATGCTTCTCTCTCATCATTGATGTTTCTTTCTTTATCTCTCTCTCTCTCTCTCCCTCTTCCTTCCTCTCAGAAATCAATAAAAATATATTTTTAAAAATCAAATGCAACAGCACTTGTATAACATGATTCACTATTTGGAAACTCATAGATTCCTGTTGGCCAATAGTATTTCCACAAACATAATAATGAGATATAAAGGAAAGTAATATTCTCAAGCAGTTTTTCCATGTTAGATCTTGCCCCAAACATCAACTAAAAGGCATTGCTATTTTATACCCATTTATATCTGAAGCATTTCTACATACAACATTTTATGGAAAAGCTCACTCTGCAACATAAATAAAAGAGGAGGCTGCTCTTGAAGGACACAAGCCCTTTTGCTCCACCCTGTCAGCTCATCCCAGCTTCCCCCACTGCCCCGGTGCACAGGCTGACCCCAGTGCTGTAAGAGATTTCTCACAACCACATTTTGTCTGAGAACTATACTACAGAGTATGAAGATCAATTCTCTGCTAGGAACCTGAAATACAGAAATTCTGTATTGCAAATAAAGTGCAGATCCATGTTTCAGTACCCAAGGAAACCTAAGTAAAGCTAACCCTATGTGTGAGAATGAGAAGCCTGACTAAAAGACCACCCATTTTCATTTCAGAGATGGCTAGCCTGAAAATCTCAGAACTTTTTTGTGTGTGTATATATACACATACAGGTGAACATATATACATATAAATAAACACACATATTCTTTGAATAAAGAAAGACATAATACTGAATTAGCCAACAGGCTCAGAAGGAGTGACTTTTCTTGTGCATTAATCTATTCCTTCTCATTAGGTCAATGACAGCGTTCAGAGGAGACAGCAAAGTTATGAAATTATTTGCAAAACACATAAAGGTAAGCAAAGGGCCTGTGGTTCTTGGTGGAAGATGTTAGTGATCCTTAAGGGTCACTTCTAGACCTCAGCTTTTCCCTTCAACCTCTGTGTAACTCCTTTGCAAGGGTTTTCTTTGGTGCCTCTTTCTATAACACACTTAATGACCATTCTGATTTTCTTTGCATTCCCTACCTCTGCACACCCACCTCTCCCCACAGCAGTCACACTTGTCCCTGCTCCGAGGTTCCTCTGCAGAAGCTGAGGCTTGACCCTGGACTCTGTGAAGATTTACCAGTTTTCTTCTATCTTGATGTTAACCTTCTTTGCCCTAAACAAGGGTAGCCTCACTTGCTTTCTAACTTTCTTAACTTTTAAACAAAATGCTCTAAATTGGCCCATGATTGATTGCAGTTTCTAATGACTCTTTGAAAAGAGTTTCTGGACCCAATTTCCAACATGTGGATGGGGGTGCTTCCTCACGTATCCAAGAAATGCTCTGGACACCAACTTCATGTCCTACAGTGCAACTCAATTCTGACATTGTCTACCTGGAAACACATCAGGTTCCATAGGTTAAGGGCTCAGTCCTACAAGACCGCATGCACACCTCATACCCCCAACTTCAGACACCAGTTGAAAGTCCAGGATGTTACCTATTCTTCTGACCAACTGATTCAGAGGTTCCCACAACCCCCTCCTCAAATTCAATTAATTTGCAAGAGCAGCTGACGAAACATTTTACTTACTAGATCACTGATTCATTATAAAAACATGTAACTCAGGAACAGCCAGATGGAAGAGATGCCTAGGGCAGGGTTGGGAAAGGTTGTGGAGCTTCCATACCCTCTCCAGGCACACACTCTCCCCAAATCTCCATGTGTTCACCAACCCAGAAGTTCTTCAAACCCTTCCTCTCAGGTGTTTTAAGGAGGCGTCAGTACTTAGGCATGATTGATTAAATCATCAGCCATCGGCGATTGATTCAACCTCAGCCCCCCACCCCTCTCTGGAGGTTCGGGGTGGGAGTGAAAGTTAATTACATAGTGGGTTCTCCTGGAACCGGTCTCCATCCTCAGGTGCTTCCAAAAATCTCCTCATTCAAGTAACAAAAGACAGCTTTATCACTCTCAACACTTAGGAACTTGCAAGGGCTTGGGGAGTTATGAGTCAGAAACTGTGGACGAAGGCCACATTTGTATGAGAAATATATTTTGGTAGTCTGCCTCAATATCACACTTCTCTTTATTCTCTTCCATCTTGGAATAGGTCCAGGAGCAGGTAAAGTTGCTGGAGAAGCGTGCCGTGCACCTGGGTGTAGGAACTCCAGGGAGGATTAAAGAACTCGTTAAACAAGGTATGAAAAGAGCCAGTGATAGTCTTCAGAGCTGGGAGTTGGCCGTACCCCCATGTGAGTTTTGGGAACCACATGTGTGATGCAGTGAAACCAGATCTCTGTGTTAATTCAGGAGTTGGAAATTCAGCCATGAGTCTGTAAAGTCAGCCAGCAGGTATGATGGAGTAGGGAAGGATGAGAACTGTGAAATTGAAGGGTATGTGCCCACCTAAATACATTCAGATTTCAATTGCTTTAAACAGGTTAGTGGATCCACAATTGATTCCATCAGTTTGCACCCTCTGGAATTTGTAGAGCTGGATATGTTGAGTATTTCCCTCTCACTTAATTGTGTCTTGGTTCCCCACGACTCCCATTCCACTTGAAAACATGTTGAAACAAAAATGCAGTTTCACCTAGATGGCGTGGCTCAGTGGTTGGGCGTTGACCTATGAACCAGAAGGTCACGATTTGATTCCCGGTCAGGGCCCATGCCTCGATCCCCAGTGGGGGGCATGTAGGAGATAGCCAATCAATGATTCTCTTACATCACTGATGTTTCTATCTCTCTCCCTCTCCCTGCCTCTCTGAAATCAATTTTAAAAAAATATTTTTAAATGCAGTTTCTGTGGATGAAATCTTGATATTCTAAATCGTTTCTCTTGTAGTGCTTTACCCAGAAAGTATTCCAGAGGACATCCACCTGCTAACCTGCTAATGATCTTATTACCTGTTCTGCCTGCCAGACAGATTAAAGATATCTTATCAATTCTCATTTCCAAATTACTTCTTCAATATAGTAATACACATTGTTTCCTAACTGACAGGAGCTATTCCTGGATTTTTCATATTTCTAAACGTAATGTGTTCATTAGTATAGTAACTCCGTATACAGATAGTCATTTGCCAGAAAGCAAATGAAAACTAAAAATACTAGTGTTTCTCTCCAGATGAAAGCCACTCAGGTTAAATAAACCCACTGTATACAGAACTCTGTGCAATTACAAATAACAAACTGGAGGCCCCAAATAAGGAAGGGAAAAATATTTTTTGAGTTCCTATGTGTACTTAGCAATATGCTAGACCAGTGGTTCTCAACCTTCTGGCCCTTTAAATACAGTTCCTCATGTTGTGATCCAACCATAAAATTATTTTCGTTGCTACTTCATAACTGTAATGTTGCTACAGTTATGAATCGTAATATAAATATCTGGTATGCAGGATGGTCTTAGGCGACCCCTGTGAAAGGGTCGTTCGACCCCCAAAGGGGTCGCGACCCACAGGTTGAGAACCGCTGTGCTAGACACTTACATCTATCTCATGTAGTACTCACCTCACCCTTGCAGGCTAGGGTTCTGATTCCCTCAGAGAGAAAACCAAAGCACACAGGGTTACGTGGCCCTCCCAGAGTCACTCAGTCCAGGCTTTCCTGGTTCCTGAGTTTTCCCCAAAAGGGAGCTCCCAATCCTATTGAAGAGATAAGTGCACATAGAATTAGGTTGACCATACAAGACAGTAAAGCCCAAAGGCCAAGTGAACACTTCTAAGTCTAGAGAAGTTGAAATGAGGGAGAGATTGATGTGGTAGCTGAGTCTGCAGGGAAAGCTTTGTAGAGTTTTTAACTGATCTTTAAAGTATGGGGAGAATTAAAGTAGGATCTGTGGAGATGTGAGGAAAGACTCAGGAACATGCAGGAACGGGAGAAGAGCTGAATCAGGAGGGCAGGCGGAGAGACATGTGGTATCCCTGGAGGAGGTGATAAGTGAACAATACCCTGTTGAGTCTAAGAACCCCTGTTATGGACTCAGACTCCAGATTCAGGTCCCAGGTCCAACAACTTACCACACCAGCTCTGTGACCTTGCAAGTTACCTTCTCTAAACCTATTTCTCTATCAGAATGACAGAGACAGAAATAGTACCTATCTCAAAGGATTATTATGAAAATTGAATGCCAATAAAGAACTCAGCACAGTGAGTGTCATACCTTAAGAACTCGAAAAAATGCTAGTTGTTTTTATTGAAGAGACCACGTTTCTTACTGGGGACTTCATGGGCTGTACTATCTTGTGATTCAACTGGGAAGAAAGTCAGATTGTGAGGGAGGGCCTTGAACAGTAATCTAAGGAGTTTGGAGTTTTGTCTTGTGAACGTGATGGGGCGATGAAAATGAAGGAACAGGTGAGAGGTGCTCATACGTCTTCTGTGAAACGCAGAGTTGGGAGAGCTTGGCTGGGCAGTGGGAGAGGCCAGGGATGGACGCCACCTCTCCCTCAGCCCCCAGCCAGAGATTCACCTCTCCCTTTCCTGGAATACAGATGGGTTTTTGTGGTCACCAGGCCCCACTCTTCTTTGTATTTAGAAGAGAGAGGGGAAAAACAAAGCTGTACAGACCATTGAAATTAGATTTCTACAGAGTTGTGAGACACGTTTTAAGATAGTGATTTCATTTTCTTTGGCTATATACCCAGAAATGTGATAGCTGGATCACATGGTAGTTATCTTTTTAATGTTTTGAGGAACTTCCATACCATTTTCCATAGTGGTTGCACCAATTTACATTTCCACTAACAGTGTGCAAGCCTTCTCTTTTCTCCACATCCTTGCCAACACTTGTTATCTTTTTGTCTTTTTGATAACAGGTGTGAGGTGATATATCATTGTGTTTGTTTTTTATATTGTTTTATTGATTTCAGAAATAGGAAGGGAAAGGGAGAAAGATAGAAAAATCAGTGATGAGAGGGAATAATTGATAGGCTGCTTCCTGCACGCCCCACACTGAGGATCGAGCCCGCAACCCAGGCGTGTGCCATGACTGAGAATCAAACCATGACCTTCTGGTTCATAGGTGGACGCTCAACCACTGAGCCATGCCAGCCAGGCCTTTCGCTGTGGTTTTGATTTGTATTTACCTGATAATTAATGATGTTGAATATCTTTTCATGTTCTTGTTGGCCATTTGGATGTCTTATTTGGAAAAATGCATTCTTGGTTCCTTTGCCCATTTTTAAATTAGATTTTTTTTCTATCAAGTTATATGAGTTCTTCCTATATTTTGTATATTAAACCAAAGTTAGATTTTTTTTTAACAATTCTATCATGGTAGGATATTTGGGTTGTTTCTTATTTTTTGCTATTGTAAATAATACTGCAGTGATCATTTTGTAAGTAACTGTGTTTAAATTTCTGATGTTTTTATTGGGATATGTGTAGATGGAGAATTTTTTTGTCAATAGAAAGCATTTTAAAGCTCCTTTTTTATAATGCCCAGTACTTTTTTAGAGAGGTTGTACCTGTTTGCTCTATTACCAGCAGTGAATTATTTTTAAGTGAAGACTACCAAACCATTGTCATTCTTTATTTTTCATTTTTAATTTTTCAGAAAATTTTAAATAAGAGGCATTGTAATTATAAGAAGCATTAAAAAATTCTTTTGGGCCTGGCTGATGTAGCTCAGTGGTTGAGCGTGGACCTATGAACCAGGAGATCTAGGTTCAATTCCGGTTAGGCCACATGCTTGATCCCCAGTAGGGGGAATGCAGGAGGCAGTTGATCAGTAATTCTCTGTCATCATTGATGTTTCTATCTCTCTCTCCCTTTCCCTTCCTTTCTGAAATCAATAATAAAAAAAATTGTTTTAAATTATTTTGGGCAGAGAGGGGAAATATTGAAATAATCACAGGAGAGTTGAAGGGACATGCTGCAGTTGTGTAAAAGAAGGCTTCAATTATGTTGCCACGTGAAACATGTAACAGCTTGGGGCAGTGGGGAGAACATGGAGAGTGAGAAGAACTAACTGTGCCCAACTCTGAGACCTCTAAGAAGCAGACAATCCCTGAGGTCCCCTGAAGCCCCACATTCTATTATTGTCTCTAGATCAGCGGTTCTCAACCTGTGGGTCGCGACCCCTTTGGGGGTCGAACGACCCTTTCACAGGGGTCACCTAAGACCATGGAAAACACATATATAATTACATATTATTTTTGTGATTAATCACTATGCTTTAATTATGTTCAATTTGTAACAATGAAAATACATCCTGCATATCAGATATTTACATTACGATTCATAACAGTAGCAAAATTACAGTTATGAAGTAGCAACGAAAATAATTTTATGGTTGGGGGTCACCACAACATGAGGAACTGTATTAAAGGGTCGCGGCATTAGGAAGGTTGAGAACCACTGCTCTAGATAGACAGGAAGACAGTAAGAATGGCCCTAAGTTCTTTCCTAGTCTCCTCAGGGGATCACAGCCTTTAATAGGGCCCATTCACCTTAGCTTCCTTTTCTGCCCCAAATGAACCTCCCAGCCGTGTCCTGATCCTTTTGCCCACTCACCTCCTCAGTCATGTGGCCTCAGGTAGACTCAACTCCAAACTGCAGGAATCTTATCAAATCCCTGTCAGGAATGAAACTTCACCCTCTGGCACTTCCTGGAGGCTTAGGATTGATTTTTTGCCAGCACTTGAGCATTTGACAAGCTTAGCAAGAGCAGCTTCTCTGCTTCTCAGAATCAGTGATAAGATTATAGGAGGGGAGTCTTGGACTACCGCATTTGTTTTCCATCAGGCAAAGGCAGCATTTAATGTGAGAGATTAGTTACTGGGGAGAGGACAGCAAATGAGGCAAAAAGCAACCAAGAGAATAAAAAGTAGTTTTAATTTGTTCACGTCATGAGGTCTTGACTGCGGCAACCCTCTCCCTATCTCTTTCAGGTGGCCTTAATTTGAACCCCTTAAAGTTTCTGGTTTTTGACTGGAATTGGAGAGATCAGAAGTTGAGGAGGATGATGGACATTCCCGAGGTACCGTGTAACCAGCAGTTGACTTTAATTTTTCTTTTTCTTTTATCTGAACTTGAGTTCAAACACAGTAATAGAGTCTTTGACGTGAAGACCAGCACATCCTGGCCTGTGACAGTTACTGTAAAGGAATAATCATGGAACCCACCTCACCCCTTACACATAATCCTATCATTCCCATGTGTTTTATAGGAATCAGCTTTGTTTCCTCATTAAATGACCGAGAGCTTCTGCCTCACTAGGGACCATAGCTATACTGTACCTTTGAGAAATAGGAAGATCTGGAGAACTTGGCATACTTCCCTGTGCTTTGCTTTAGAGGCACAATCACCTTTGCTTTTCATCCTTATAAGTGCACTTGGAGGCGGGTGTGCAAATTTGACTCATTGCTCACATCTTTATGAGTCGAGTGGTTTTTTCTGAGCAGGACGCAAGGGTGATTTCTTTCCGGGTTCTTGTCCAGGTGCATTTGAAGAATGAAGCCACAGACAAAAGGTGGTGTATGAAAAGGTGGAAATTTATTGGAAACAAGTAGAGACTCCCACGTAGGGAGGGGGTCCCAAAGGGAGTAGCCCCTAAGCCCCTTTTTCCTAAGGTTTATAAAGGCTGCAGTTCTTTGTCTTTTCTTGCTGATTTTCTTAATCAAAGAAAAAAAACCCAAAAACCACATGGTGCCCCCTCTATTTCTCCCCCTTCAGTGGTAGATTCTCTATCTCCTGTGAAAATCTGTTTCCTCTTTCTCCCACTTGTCAGCATTTCTCTATCCTCTGTGAAAGTTCTTTTTCCTCTTTCTTCCCATCCCGTGTGGCTCTTTCCTATCTTCTGTGAATGGATGTCTTCCTTTCCCCTTATCCTGTGGCACCTTTTGTTCTCTGTGAACATATGCCTTTAGCAGCTCCAAGCCCCCACTTATGGGCTCCAAGCCTTCCTCCCACATGGACCCTCTTTATTTCTAAAACTCTCTAAACCTACCTATTTTACCCCCTAAAACTCCTTTCATTTACATCCCCTAAAACCCAGTTACTTAATTTGGAGCTAGTTTGATTTGGGGGGATTTTTTGATGTCTCAGTAGATTAAAATTGAATGTCTACCCTTTCCCAGCCTGAGTGGCTCCGTGGTTGAGCATTAACCTATGAACCAGGAAATCATGGTTCGATTCCCAGTCAGGGCACATGCCCGGGTTGTGAGCTCGATCCCTAGTAAGGGGTGTGCAGGAGGCAGCCGACCGATGATTCTCATCATTGATGTTTCTATCTCTCTCTTCCTCTCCCTTCCTCTCTGAAATCAGTCTATACTAATAAAAGGGTAATATGCTAATTAGACCGGGTCAACCAGACATCTTTCAGATGTCCGACTTCTTTCCAGACAAAACCACGGTGGTGGGGGGCCGAGACAGAGGTGGTTAGGGACAATCAGGCTGGCAGGAGAGCAAGCAGTTAGAGGCAAGATCAGGCTGGCAGGAGAGCAAGCAGTTAGAGGCAAGATCAGGCCGACACGGGGGAGCAAGCAGTTAGGGGTGAGATCAGGCCGGCGTGGGGGAGCAAGCAGGGGTGAGATCAGGCTGGTGTGGGGGAGCAAGCAGTTAGGGGGCAATCAGGCCAGCAGGAGGGGGCAGTTGGGGGCGATCAGGCCGGCAGAGGCGGTTAGGGGTGATCAGGCAGGCAGGTGAGCAGTTAGGAGCCAGTGGTCCCGGATTGTGAGAGGGATGTTCGACTGCCGGTTTAGGCCCTGTGGGATCAGGCCTAAGCTGGCAGTCAGACATTCCCCATAGGGTCCCAAATTGGAGAGGGTGCAGGCCAGGTTGAGGGACAGCCCCCCCTCCTATGCACGTATTTTGTGCACTGGGCCTCTAGTAAAAATATATTTTAAAAACTGAATGCCTGCCCTGGCCAGTATGGCTCAGTTGGGTGAGTAATGTCCCAAGCACCAAAAGGTCACTGGTTCAATTCCCGATCAAGACACTACCCAGTTTGCAGGTTTGATCCTTGGTCAGGCTGCTTATGGGAGGCAACCGATCAATGTAGCTGTTGGAGATAAAAGGATTTGTACAGTAGTAAACAGGGCTGCCGGTCACCAATCAGGAATGAATCATGGCAGTAACTAGTGTATAGGCTGGGAATTACTCCTCCAACCATGCCCAGTGAACTAATTTACCACATATAACTATATTCCCAGAATGACCAAACCTGATCACAAATGATCAGTGAATTATATCAGATATCAGTTCAAGTTAAGAAACAATTTTCTCACTTTCCTACACACACACACACACACACACGCACTGTCCCCTGAACAGTTTTGGTTTTTTTTTTAACTGGTTTTGCTGGGCCGGCATGGCTCAGTGATTGAGCATCGACCTATGAACCAGGAGGTCATGGTTCAATTCCCAGTCAGGGCACATGCCCAGGTTGTGGGCTTGATTCCCAGTGTGGGGTGTGTAGGAGGCAGCCGATCTACGTTTCTCTCTCATCAATGTTTCTCTCTCTCTCTCCCTCTCTGAAAGCAATAAAAATAAAATAAACTGGTTTAACCAATTTGATGTCCAGCACATGAGACCATATTTGATTATTTCAGATTTAATGTTAAATCTGAGTAATCTACCACTAGTTTTTTAATTACAATAATTCAGAGAAATAGTAACAAAACAAAACAAAAAAAACCCTTGTCCCTCATAGTTATACGAAATTCATGCACTGGGGGAGGGGGGGTCCTCAACCTGGCATGTTCCCTCTTGTGGAGAGCGGGCCTAAGCTGGCAGGCAGACATCCCTCTTGCAGTCCGGGACCCCTTGCTCCTTACCACCCGCCTGCTCGCTGCTCCTTACCATTTACCTTGCTGCTCCTTAGCACTGCCGCCACTGCACTCGCCAGCAGTGAGCTCTGCTTCTGGTTGAGCAGCGCTCCCCCTGTGGGAGCGCACTGACTACTAGGGGGCAGCTCCTGTGTTGAACATCTGCCCCTGGTGGTCAGTGCACATCATAGCACCCGGTCATCCCGCCGTAACGGTTGCTTAGGCTTTTATTATACAGATACTAGAGGCCTGGTGCACGAAATTCGTGCACAGGGGCGGGGGGGTCCCCCCAGCCCAGCCTGCACCCTCTCTAATCCGGGATCCCTTGGGGGATATCTGACTCACAATCTGAGACTGCTGGCTCCTAACTGCTCACCTGCCTGCCTTCCTGATCACCCCTAACTGCTCCCCCCACTGGCCTGGTTGCCCCCAACTGCCTCCCCGCCCCCCGCCAGCCTGGTCACTCCACGCAGCCTGCTTGTTCAGTCGTTTGGTCATCCCTCACTAACCCCCCCTGCCAGCCTGGTCGTCCCACACAGCCTGCAGTTCAGTCGTTCATCCGGTTGTTTCAGTCGTGACGGCCCCTGGCTTTTTATATATTAGGACTGTGTCTAATCTGGGCACACTTTAGATATCTTTATATGAGATTTTATTTTAAGTGGCTGCAAGCAAAAGGACACTTGAACGAAACTGGTGTTTTATATAATACCTCTTCCTTTACTTGTGCAACTATTCCAGCTCTGAATAAAATATGGGTTAGGATTTCTGCCATCCCTGACTCTGGCCATATCAGCTGCATAAATACCAGAGAGTGCAGAAGGTTGAATTTATTCACCAAGACCATCTTAATCTTAACCTTTTTTTTTTTTTATCTTTTCTCTCATTTAGATAAAAAAGGAAGTTTTTGAACTTCTGGAAATGGGAGTCCTCAGTCTGTGCAAGTCGGAATCCTTGAAGCTGGGCCTCTTCTAATCTGTGTCCCAGTGAAGATCCCAGGGTTCACGGTGGGATTTGCCTCTTGTTCAATGGCTCAGACACACTGCAGACACTCAGTACAAATCAGCTGCTGTTTTATTGCATTAGCCGCATCACCAGGTAGACCCCTGGGAATGTGTGATCAACATGAATCTGTCCTTTGCCAACCCCTTGTATAATAAAATATTGCCAGCTTGTTCTTCTCTCACCGACTGACCTCTGATGTGACTGTGCTGGGCCAGCTTAGGCAAATGCTTCCCTCTCTGAGCCTCAGTCTCATCAGCTGCAAAATGGGAATGATATTTGGCAGGATCGTTGAGGATTCCATGTGATGGTACATGTGGAACAGATTTGCAAACTATGAAGCCTGGTCCCAGTGTGAAGCATGGCCGTAGTAGTAGGAAGAGCTGCAAGTGTATGTGGCACTTTGTAAATACAAAAGACAACAATATAACTACAACTTTCTTATTTATTTTTTAACTTGTTATTCAGACTTACAGAAAAGTTACAAAAATAGCATAGAGAATTCCCATATGTCTTTCCTCTGGCTTCTCTCAATATTAACATCATGTATAACCACGATAGTTATCAGAACTAAGAAATCAATGTTGGTACAGTACAATTAACTAAACTACAGACTTCATTCACTCTCACCAGTTTTTCCACTGATGCCTGTTTTCTTTCTTTTTTTAATATATCTTTTTTAAATATATATTTTTTTATTTCAGAGAGGAAGGGAGAGGGAGAGAGAGATAGAAACATCAATGATGAGAGAGAATCATTGATCAGCTGCCTCCTGCACATCCCCGACTGGGAATCAAGCCCTCAACCCAGGAATGTGCCCTTGACCAGAATCGAACCCGGGACCCTTCAGTCCACAGGCCGATGCTCTATCCATTGAGCCAAACCAGCCAGGGCTGATGCCTGATTTCTATCCTAGGATCCAGTCGAGGGTCCCACATTGCATGTAGTTGTCATGTCTCCTTAGTTTGCTCAGATCCAGGACTGCTCCTCAGCCCTCCCTTTGTGTCATGACCTTGACACTTTTGGAGAGTAATGACCAGGTGTTTTATAGAATGTACTTCAATATCAGTTTGTCAGGTGTTTTCTGCATTTTTTGGACAGAATACCACAGGAGTGATGTGCTATTTTTTATACATCATAGCAGGGGGTATATAATGTTGATTCATCTTAATACTGATAATGCCAACTTTGTTCACCTGGTTACAGTAGTGCCTGCTGAATTTCCCCCCTGTAAAGTTACTATTTTTTCCTTTGTAATTAATATTTATCTTGGAGGAAATACTTTGAGGCTACACAAATATCCTTTTTTCCCCTCATACTTTGCCTACTAATTTTAGCAACAGTAGTAGTTCTTGTCTGAAACCATTATTCTGTAGTGATTTTTCTGTTTCCCTCGTTATTTCAACATTTATTAATTGGAATTCTTCGGGAAGAGAGAGCTGTCTCTTTTTTTCATTTACTTGTTTGTTCAACTTTTTACATCAGTATGGACTCATGAGTGTTTATTTTGTTCTATGAATTATAACCCAATACTATTGGTTTTATTTTGTTGCTGAAATTCACTTACTTTCTTACTCATTTAAATAATTTTTATTGATTACCCATCTATGTTAAGCAGTATGTAGGGCTTTAATCATTGACATAGTACTGAAGAAAAAGTATTATTATTCACATTTTTTAGATGTTGAAAGTGAATCTCAGGAAGGACACACAGTAGTTTTAAGTAGCAGAACCAGAAGTCCCCAGTTCTCCCATGGCAGGACACCATGATCACCATGTTAGGGATTCAGGCATATAAATCAAATAAGAGATAAAAACAAACAGATGCCACTACCGGTACATAAAATTCCACATTTGAATACTGTGACATTTTAATGAGCCTGGCAGTCTAGCATTAATCAACCTCCATTAAAAACACACTTCTAAAAAAAACAACAACACACACTTCTGCATACCAGAGACTTGCTGCTAGTGCATCTCTGTTGTCTGGAAGCTACACACAGGGACTCAAAGGGAAGAAAAGCAAGTTCCATTCTGCAGGACCCTGACTCAGGCCCACCAGTTAGAGGGAAAAGAAGAAAAGCTGCCACAATGTGAAAATCTATTCAACTATGGCTAAACTTAACCCTATTCTTTTCATCCCTTTAATCTTAACATGTGAGTTGTTCTTGGCCAATAGTAAGAAAAAAGAATAGATCACATGCCTTCCCTGTACAGGCATTTAACTTCCTGTCAATTAACAGGTCTTAGATTAATCTGGAGGAAAACATCAAGCATCTATACTAATAAAAGCCTAGGTGGTGTCTCTCCCCCGCATCATCACAAGATGGCCACCCCCACGTCGTCACAAGATGGCCACCACAAGATGGCCCACAGAGGAGGGCAGTTGGGGGTGATCGGGCCAGCAGGGGAGGGCAGTTGGGGGTGATCGGGCC